CAGGGTGAAACTCAACTTGACCTGTCGTCGCTGCGATGTGAGAGACCATAATCAAAGCACCCTCGAATTCAGCAACAACAGTAACGTCAAGTACAGTGAGCGTATTAAGCAAGGCGAAAAATGCTGAAGAGGTTATATCAAGAGCCTCAGAGAATTGAGCCCAGTCCGTAAAGTTTAAATATTTGTCCTCAGTAACTCTCTTTCGTCGCCTAAATCAAGCAGAATTGGCAGATGATCCGACGAGAGTTAGTAAAGAGCTTCAATTGCCTGAACTATAAACATTTATCAAAACGGCGAAATCTAGTACTTCTGACATCCTTGTCTTCTCCATTTGCGTTGGATACTGTAGTCCTAGGATGAGCAGTCTGCGCTCGTCGGTGTAAGATTAGAGGAACCGGCCTTTTGGGTTATCGACACGGTTGCTCCAGGGAGTGATGCTTGCAGTTAAGGGTCCCACATACAATAACTGAGGAACAAGTTATAAAAAGGGTATCAAGATCTGAGATAACAAGTGGCATACTGGGGAACTTGTAAGTTGCAATTACCGACAGAGGCCCCTGGGCTGGTTAAGTGGAGGGAACTCCCAGCCTCAATGCTTTGCAGGGCTGGTAAAGATATTACACTGTGTTGACTGTCTCGTCTGTAAAAAATAGTGCGCCTCCACCGCCCCTATATAGGCGATCATGGCGGTACGTCGAAAGTTGCAGAGGTTGAAGGTTGAATGGAACGTTGAGAAGAAGATGAGTTTCACTAATAACACAGATCAATCCCTTCATGTTGCATCAATTCCTGCAATTCTTGTTACCAGTGTAGCACGCCAGCTGCGCTCCAGAACAGGGCCTAAAAACCATTGCAAAAGGATTCCAGACCCTCTACCAACTCTAACAGTGTTGACAGGTTTGTCGTCAATATCAGTTCCGAATTCTTGCTTGAGGTTGTTGGGGCTTGTCTGAGGAGTTGGCTTTGGCTAAGCAAGTGGCATAGGAAACTGTCGGGGTTACATTAATAGAGGTCTGTCTTTAAGGTGTTGGTGGGACAGTTTTTAATTGGATAATGTAGGTCTTCGCAGATAATGTTTGCAGCCACAATAACTAGTGTGCGCTTCACCGCAATCAGCACAACTGGCAGTGCTTTCTCGTGCTTTTGTGCGCTGTGCAGTCAAGTGGCCCTCGCCACATTTAACAAATTGGGGGAATGCAACGCAGAAACCTGCCTGTTTCCAAATACCTGACAGCGGTCCGACTCAATTACTCTTTCGGAGTTCTTCCACCCTAAACTGAAGATAGAAAAATGTCCTTAATTCCGACAGCTTTTGTCAATCACATCTTGGTATATACTCTGACACCGTCGGTAGAGATTGCTTCGTACGTTCCCCATCGACAGTGTCCTCAGTGGGCATCCTTGCCCCGCGGAGGGGTGAGATCTCTTGCTTGCGTAAGTCTCCCTTGACGGTTTGGACGTCGAGATCGCAAAAGATTCCGCGAAGAACAAACTTTAAGGCTCGGGTAGTTGGTGGGTGAAATGAGGAAGCGCTTCACCACCCATAAGCTTAGTGATGGCTCGATACTCGCCTGCTGTTGCGGGAAATATTTTAATTACTTGACGTAAATCCCTAGACTTCTGGCTGTCGTTAACCAGCAGAAGTTTCACGAAGTGATCCCATTTTTGTTTTTCGCAAAGGACCACAGGCGGGATCTTATTATCTCGCCTAAGAGGGGGTGCAACCGCGGAAGGTGGCTCGGAGTCGCTGGAGGTATCTCGGGCATTGGGAGAAGTATTACCCATACCTAACTTAAGGCTATCTTCGTGCTCTCTATGAGATATATCTGTGTCTTTCTTACTATTATTTAAAGTAGAGTTTCTAGTGATATTACTAAAAATTTTAAAGGTTAATACACCCATTAAAGTTTTTCCCAAAAGTATTATTACTAAATTTATTATTACTACTATCTGTTTTCGGTATTATTATCATTATTATTATTTTCGTTATTTTAATGCCTTTAATCATAAAAGAATTTCCTTCGCTCTCCTCTGAGACTCTTCTTTACAAGGCTCGTTAAGTATTTGGAGAGCAAAATAATTTAGCATTATTATTTACAATAGAAGAATTTTCTACAGGATGCTTGCGATTAAGATTCCCGTACAAAACGGTAGAAGGGGCACTCCCAAGGATGGCGTCCAAATCGGAGGCCGGAAATAGCTTCCAAGGGGATTTGTAGACAGCTACTACAGACACGGACCCCTGGTAGGTCGTACACAGGGAAATTTCCGCTACCTCGATACCTTGTAGAGCTGGCATAGATATCGAGTGATATCGAATACTCCGTTTCAACAAAGCAACCGCGCCTCTTCCGCGTGCATCAATTCTGTCTTGGCGATTCATAACAAAGTTGCACAAATATGACGTTAGGAAAAAGGTGTGTCTCGTTGATGACGATAACCTCATTTCTTTCTCGTAGTAACAAGCCCTGAAGCTCGTGCTTCTTACTCTGAACATTATTTGCATTCCAGAATAGGAGTCGAATATGGCGGCGCGTCTTTGGCTTAGAAACTATTGAAAACAGATTCCCGTCCTGTCAGTTTCAAGCGTGCTGGATAAAGTCGTCGTTAAAATTGCTAACGTCTGCCGTATTATCAGCTTTCGCAGTAGAAGTGTGGCCAGGGCGTTAGAACCTACCGGGATATTGGGCAAATCTTGATGATGTTTTGTTCTTTAAGGAGACTCGTAAGAGAAACCCGGGCAACATTATTACTTGTAGTTGGCGCCGAAGAAGTAAACTTTGCTGGTTAGCTGTTTTCTTACGAAGATAATTTGCAGCCTTGACAATTACCGGTCTGTGCCTCACCACCATTCATCCATCTACCAGGCGAGTCTCATGATTTGGTACACTCTGCGGTCAAATGACCCTCACCGCGTTTGACGCATCGAGGTACCACTGCGCAAAAGATTGCGACGTGGCCAACGCGAACTGCTTTTTCAAAGTTCTTCTATTTTGATCTGAAGATGAAAATATTCAGCTTACCGCTCCGTTCTTAATATAGGCACTAATGATAAAGGATCTTTTTTCCGCTCGCCAGTGGTAGTGTCTTCCGTGTTCATTTGTACCACTCGAAGGGGTGTAATGCCTTGCGCGCGCAGGTCCGCCTAGACGGTGGAGATATCGAGTTCGCAATAAATTTCACGAATAACAAATTTGTGTGGCTTGTCTTCAGATAAATGAGAGGTAAAATGTTGTAAATCTTGCTTTCTCATTAGTGCTGTGATCGCTCAGCCCTTGAGATGTTATCGGAAATATTTTAATTACAAGATGCGTATCTCTTGACCTCGGGGTCGGGACACCGTTGGACTGCAAAAATTCCGCAAGAAGGGGCCACTTTAGTTTTTCGCAAAGGTAATAGGAGGGGTTTTTCTCTCTAAGGATTCGCAGGTGGAGTTCTGCAGTTGATGGTCGTTCATTAAATATAGGGATATTGTTAGAAGCGCTGCCCATCTTATATGTTTACGGTGTCTTGTAAAGCTTTTGTGTCTTCTCTGAGTCTAATGAATTTCGGGTGGCCTTTACACCTTAATCTGGGGGGTACTTACTGCGATCATTACTATTAATAATAAATCTATTTTTTATTACTGGATATATTTTTTTATTGCTATTAGTGTTGCCGCCAGTATGGAAACTATTACATAAGGTTTTTGCTACTACTACTATTATCCTTAATATTAGCTATTTCCTCGTGACTAGACTCGCCTTTTGTAACCTTTAGAGTCTCTTTATCTTCGTAAAATTATATATATATATATATACTCCAAAAACAATAAATTTAACAAAAGTGATTTATTAAATGTATCACTTAAATTCGGTGTCAACTAAATTGTAAGCTGTAAGGACATATAGTTAACAAGGTATGATGCACCAGCTGTTAGGACTGTTTATCTAAAAATAAACGTAGGTATAAAGTATGAGGTTATATGATTTAAAAAGGAAACTATTTTATTTATCTGTTTTTCGATATACCGTTACAAAAAACCTGTTCCCTAACTACAAAAAAATATTTTTTGCTATCAATTTGTTTCCAGTTAATATAGGTGTGAAATAAGTTTCTTTAGTTTTTTTTTGTAATTTTTTTATATAAACCATTAAAGCTGTTTTTCATTGGCTGAAATTCTTAACTATAATCAATTAACCTTCCGATAATTTAGTAGAATTTATTTTCTGTTGAGTTTTTAGTATTGGTGTTTCGTGAAAAATGTTAGTGATATTTTAATTATGTTTTGTGCAAATATGTTAGTGTTTAGTGTTTTTTATCTTAGTTATTAAAAAGAAAGAAGATATCAAAGTTTAAGTCAGAATAAACTTAAATGAAATAAAATTATTATGTTAGGATTTTAATGAAAGGACTGCGAAGAAAACCACTGAAAGTTAAACAATTTTTATGTACCAGAACGGGGACAAATGATCCATAATATATTAAATTACTTGTTTTTTCACACATTGTCACTTTTAGGTGTAGATAAACTTCTTTTAAAATCTATTTCTGATAACTTCTTAATTTCACTGGAATTGAGAGGGCTACCCTACTTACGGCACGTCCTTTACTCATAATATGTACAAAGTAACATAAGTTTACTCAGTAAATTTAGTTAAAAAATCAAAAGCTATTTATTGCAGTCTTTATTTAACCTTTAAAAGTGCTGCAGGTCAAGTTAAAATAACAGAGAATCAATAAAGCTTTTCTCTGTTATGAATATCAGCTACTCCCTGCTACAGCCTCACGAGGCGCTCAAAGTCTAAGTTGGAATCCAGTGGCCAATAAGGAGTGAAAGTGCAAGAATACGCTATGCGTAGAGTTCAATTTTCTTTAAAGTGTAGTTCGTCAGCTTACAATTTTATTTTCACAAAGAAATTGGTAAATTCTAAAAACTTTGAATTTGGCTGAGTTGCATAAATAGAATAAAAAGGCATTAAAAGTGTAGTTGGACTCAAACAATTTTGTTAATTTGAAAAATGGTTTTACTTACAATTATAAAGAAGATCCAAGAGAAAGAAAAACATATGAGATTTTTAATATTAGGGTTGGACAATGCTGGTATTTGTTATTAAAAAAGCTTAAATGAGTAAATAGGACTTTGACATTCACTGTGTTTAAAAGGTAAAACAACCATATTGAAAAAGTTAAATAACGAAGATACTTCAGAAATTTCACCCACTTTAGGTGAAATTATAATATTTTAATAATCAACATCTCACATTAGCATAGGTTTCAGCATAAAAACTCTTTGTTATGAAGGTTACCAACTAAATTTTTGGGATGTTGGTGGTATTATAAATCTATAATTATCACTAAAATTGTATCTACATATCCCTTTAAAAGGACAAAAGTCTCTAAGAAGTTACTGGCGAAATTACTTTGAACAAACCGATGCTTTAAGTTTGTTATTTTTTAGTAAATTATACTTTAGTAATTTTTTTTTTTTTAAGTTTGGGTTGTAGATTCCACTGACTTTGATAGACTTGAAGATTGTAAAAAGGAGTTGCACAATTTACTTAAAGAAGAAAGACTTAGTGGCACGTACTTTTATGAGTTTTAAACTATTAATTTGTTTATTTATTTTAATTCAGGCGCTTCTTTACTTATTCTAGCTAACAAGCAGGATGTAAAGGGCTCTTTCAGTAAAGAGCAACTGACAATTGTTTATACATAAACTTAAAAATATAAAATTATTTTTAAGTCATAATTTGTTCTTAAATTCTCTTGTAAATGTACATTTATTACTTTTTTGTTAAATGCTGTAATTATGAATTTTTATAAATATATTTAAATAATTTTAATTAGAAAGGTATACTTTTGATTTATTTTGACAAATAGCTGTAACTTTATTTAAACTTTTAGGAGCAATAAAGTAAAGTGTGTAATATTATTAAATTAAATTTTTAACTTGCCTCCTCATATAAAAATAATACAACGCTGCATTTTTTATAATCTCTTTAACTTTTCAACCAACACCTTTGTGCTTCCCTTAAATTTTAAAGGATGCTTTTCATTTTTTAGATTTTCTTTTTCTAAAATTTTATTTCAACTTTATTTTAAATTATTTAATTTAAATTATAAATCTTTTGTTAGCTCTTTATAACTGTCAAAGAGTAATATTTAACTTTTATTAATTTATTTAAATTTACTTAATAAAATTAAGATAAATTTTTTAAAAAGTTTTTTTTACTTTTTCAATTTTATTATAAACTAAATTGGATTTTATACTAAATAGTAAATAATATACTAAATTAACTTTCAGTCCATTTTATAACATTTTTGAAAGTTTGTTTTATACTTAAATAATAGATTTTAGATCTGCAGAAAATTAAAACGCATCACTGGTATATACAAGAATGCAGTGCCGTCACTGGTAATTTCAAAAAGTTTATCATAAAAATTATCGCTTTTCAGAAAGATCAATTATACTAAATTAGTAATTTATTTTTACAGGAGAGAATCTTGTAACTGGGATTCGGTGGGTCGTAAAAGATGTCTGTTCCCGAATCTTTTTGCTTTCATGAATAAGAAAAACTTGAAAATCAAAAAAAAAAAAACAAAATAAATTTATTTTTGCAACTTATTATAAAAAAGTAATTTGTATTTATTTGCAGTAAAAAAAAATTGTTACAAGCAATGACCCAATTAATAATAAAACTTTATAAAATGTAATTTTATTATAACAAAATAACCGAAAATTTTATTCTTTTTCTATTAAACTAATAAAAAATAAAGGTGAAAGGACGTCAAAAGGAGAATTATCATTTTTTCTTCCAACCAAATTGGGAGTCTCTAGTAGTCCATTTTTCATTGACCGCCGAATTAGACGTAACGAAACCTGATTGGGCATATCGTCCGGTGCTAGCACGGACTCCTTTGGAGTAAATAATATTAATAACGATAATAATAATAGTTATAACAATAATAAAAATAAAAATAAACCAAATGCCGTTGTAGCTTCTCCTTCTCCAATAGGAGTTCTTGAAGTGTTTTCTTTCGTGGTCCAATCACCGCTCGGAGTAATAATTAAACTTCTTATTTTCGGCCTATCTTGAGCTGAGGGCTCCATTGGCGGTGTATAATTGTTTATACTAATTTTTAATTCTCCAGAAGAAGCTAAAAAGGGCGAATAAAAATGCATATTAATATTTATTATGCAAAGTATAAAAATATGATAATTATAAAAAATCAACATAATTATAATTATAAAAAAAATTAATAAAATTATTATGAAGCCTTTGCATATTACCAAGTTAAAATATATTTTATAGTATATCCGAAGTTTATATGTAAAAGTATTAAATGAAGTTTTTTAAACAATTAATAAAATTAAAAATATTTATATAAAATTTTAAAAAGTAGAGAGATGTAAAATTCCTATAAAAAATAAACAAACTACGCAATATTTTTTATATTTACAGAAACTTTTTTTCACCAATATTTATAAGTTTTCAATATTTAGAAAAAAAGAAACTAATTTCTAATAATAAAGTTAATTTTCGGGAAAAAATTACTATAAAAAAGTAAAAATAAAGATAAACTATAATATACTGCAAGAAAGTTTATGTTCTTAACAAATTCTACATAAATAATAATAAACAGTAAATCTATTAATATTTATAATAATTAATTTTTTTTTTCACCAAACGAAGAAAATTTTCGTGGGAAATCACTGTCACGTGCAGATGTTGAATCAAGAGTTTCATTTTTAATTTCGGTTGAGGTTTGCGAGCTACAATATGAAAAATAAACAAAATAATACTTTCACATATAAATAATTAAAAGGAAAATTTACTGAACTTGCGTAAATTAAGATAAAGATTTTATGACGTAAATATGTCAATAGTAAAATAGGTAAATAAAGAATCTAAATAGCTAATAGTACTTATGCTACACTTTAAAAATAAAGTAGAACTAAATTGTTGATATAAATAACCAGTCTACAGCTTTAATTCAAATAATAATCTAAAAAAAAAGTAAACGGGTTCCAGGAATAAAAAATTAAATTAATCATAATTTTATTTAAAAAAAATTTATAGGCGTTTATATATTAATAAAGTTCACCACAAAAAATTATCTTAATAAAAATAAATAACATATTAGCGGCGTCCTCTAAAGTAGGAAAATGCTGCGCATTTACAGAAGAAACCGATCCCTTCTGAACTTTTGGAGTTTGCCACGTGCTAATCTGTACTTCCGAGTCAACTTTTAAATCTAAATTCACTGTTTTGGCTGATGTTTCTATTTCTCTTCATAAAATTTAAACTTAAATTTTATAATATATATTTGTATTATTAAAGTATGAAGTATTGATATATAGAAAACTTCAAATTTGCAATTTTCAAGCTACTAAGATCTTTAGGAGTAGAATCAGTGTCCTCCCATTCTTCAGACTGCAAAGATTTATTTATAAACCAAATCAGAATTATAATAAATTGCGGGAGTATATAATACCAGATTTATTATTAATTAATCCTACAACCTTTTAAAATAAGTAAAATATTAAATTTATAAATATTCATAAAACTAATTTTTACTAATAGTAGAAATTAAAAAAATTAAAGTAAAATTATCATACAAAGGCGGTAAAAACTTCTAGTTTTAACGTAAAATAACAGAAGTTTTAAAATTAAGGATTAAATAGCTTCGAGTACTTATATTTTTATTATATAACCTTGTATGAGTAAATTTATAAAGAAACAGTCAATTAAGAGCATCTTTAAAAAAAAATATAAATTGAAAAAGTAAAAAATATACAATCAGAATAACATTCGCTTTTTCCTAGTTATATAATATTATCAATAATAATAAATAACTCTATAGTAAAACCCACTGGTAAATTAGTACCACTATACTACAATAATAATTTTCAACTTTTCTTAATAAAACTGAATATTTTTTTTATTGGATTAAAGATATATATATATATATATATATATAATATTCACTAAATAATTTTTTATTTTTGATATTTTGATATATAACTTCATTCAAAGACACCCTTTAAATTTATATTATTTTAAATATTGTCAATATATATTATTTTTAATGTTTCACTTACATATATTATGTTAAATGAAATAAATTTAAGTAAACTAGCAACTCTGACCTTAAAAAGATATTTATAGATTAATTTTTAAACTCCTATAATTAAAAAAATTAAACATTATTGAAGTAACTGACATTACAGATATTATATTAGTTCCTTTATTTTCTGGCAGCCAAGCAAGAGGTTCGGTTGTAACAGAATCATTTGCTGGTGAAGGACTTGATTTTTCTTCCACTTCATCCTCCACGGCCAACGTAAGTATTGTACGGTTCTTTTTGGTTTTCTTATTTTTTTTAGAAAAAAAGTCATCCAATTTGCTAGACATTATAATATTAAATGAACTGGTAAAACTGAACAGACCGGAGTAACCCACAACGGCTGGGGGCTTCCCCAAGCGATAAACAGTCAATTTTCCTAGGAGAGATCAGTCATGAGGTTTTAAAGAATTTAAATTAAAAGTGAAAGACTGCTTGTAATTGGCCCATCGTGCGATCGTGCAGACCTTAGAAAGAATTTTATTAATATTTCCAACGTTGTGTTCCATATTTTTAACAAACTTCGAATTACGTTAATTTACAACTATAAAGAATGTATTTTATTTTATTATGAACATTGAAATTGGTATGCCGTCGACTATTTCGTCTTTATAAAGTGTTATTAAAAAAAGTGAAATAACTTTATCAATATTTTATTGGGTTTTTATTTTAGGAATACCTGCTTAAGAGTATTACTAAAGTAAGTTGCGCCATTTTTTTTAATGAAAATATACTAGTAAGAATATTTCGGAATTATTATCGGACTTTGTTTTATTACTTTTTTTGTAGGAAAAAATAAAGTTTTTGTATAAAAGTTGTTTTTAAGGCCAGATATTCTAGTCTTACCCGCTGTCATAATATAATTAAACACTGTGAGGCTTGCGACTTAATCACTAGTCTCCCAAATATATGCTTGAAGTTATTTATAAATTTTAAATATTAAATTCTTACTAAGAGGGATAAACAAGAATCTGGCAGCGTTTCGTTCATGTTCAACTGTACTCAGATACAACACATTTTAAATCCTTAAATTAAAAAACTATGTTATTTTAGATCTACTAAGTTTTTTCTAAACTTAATGTTTTAGTTAAATTCTATAACTATCGTAATATTTAAGTTTTAAAATTTATAAACCTACAAAAAAAAATAAAATACTTTAAGTATATATGTAATAATTATATTCAGTATTAATAACTTAGAAGTATGTACGTTTCTAAGCCTTTTTTTTTATATTTTTTATATGCCGTTTTGTATGTACTAATGCTCCATTATTAGCGCGCTGTAGTTTACGTTTCACCAGTCAGCTTAGCATAAGGTTTATGGAACTAATTTCGGCAAACTTTTTTAGGTTAAGAAGTCTAAATTTTTGGGGAGGACCAAGACAGCTCAGTGTTCCTTGCAAATCCAAAAGTTTTAAAAGAAAGGGGGAATCCTAGAGCTCCCCTAAAAGATAGATTTAAGATATTCTAAGAGAGAATCTTAATAAAAGGGCGAGCTTTTTAGTTTTTGTAATATGAAGGGTTCTAGATTACCTCGACATAAGCGCGAGTTTCTTCTTGGAGTTGTTCACCTCTACCTTCCTTTGCATCTAAAAACTTATTAGTAACGGTGTAGTTCTTTAATAAAACTATACTACCGAAGTCATCGATGACTAAATTTTTTTTTAATATTTTAAACTATACGAGAGCTTGAGGGGCTTAAAAGGCTCGAAGGTTTTAAGATAAATTATAAAACTGCGAATTAAGGTAAAGTAACGGGAGGTATAGGGTGTTATAAAACTCGATATTTTATATAATCTCAACTTGAGGAAGCAGGAATCATTTATGGAATGTATGATAAGCCCGTATATAGTCGCCTAAAAATATTGCAAAATAGCGTTTTTCCTAAAAACGTATCACTCTTTATCCTTGTGAAGGACGACTTGCTCATTACCCTCTTTGATTACTTAATTAGGGTAACCCGGAGGACTAGGGGCCCCTTTCTCTTACCCTAAGGCCTTCTTTGAACCCCGAACCCTCTTGGACTTAACTCTCAGGCAACTTTAGAGACTGGGAATAATACTAAAAACAGAAAAAAATAAAAATTTAGAGCTAGCGTAATTTAATTAATTTGACTTTTTTTAGTGCTCAATCGCATTAAAAACTTCGGATACTCGAGCTCTTAATCAAAAGTGATCGCAACAAGAGAACCTTCTAATATCAATTTTTTTTTCCACCTTGTTAGCTACGTGTAATTTAAGTATATTGACTCTAATGGTACATTACAAATAAAAGTTAAATTTAAAGATTGCGTTTACATATAGATATCATTTATAAACATTTTTAAATGCGCGTGCACGCAAGCTACTTAGAAAACCATAGGATAACGTACTTGACTAAAAGATTGAAATCTTTCGAGTGTAGTGCGAAGTAATTATATAAAGAGTTCTACTTTTACACTCCTTTTGTAATATATAATCAAGGCTATGGTTAAATCGTAAGAATTACATGAAGTTGGGGGTTTAGAAGAACAACCTGCTAAACAAAAAAAACTAGCGCTCAGAGCGCGTCACGTTGGCTCTGATAGCAAGCCCCGTTCCATGATCCGTAAATGAGCTCGCTAACCAACAGGCGACTAGTGTACTTGGCTAGCCTGTCATTAAAAGCAATGATATTGCGACAGAGGGTTTAGCTGGAGGACCCAGAGAAAAGCTTTTCCGTAGTGACCACACGTAAACTACGTAGTGTTGAAGGTGAAGGCAGCGATTAGGACACTTTACCTTTCACTAAGCAGTGCAAGCAAGCTTTCACTACGCAACAAAAGACATTTGCATGTGTCTTACATGTAGCCAATAATGACATAATCTTTTGCAGGATAGACCTACGATTCACGTTAATAGTTTTGTCATTAATAATTCCCAGGTATTTCGCTTTAGAGCGTCCCAGGATCTTTATACCACCAAAAGTTAAGGGCGCCAACGAGGGGACGCGTTTCTTCGTTATTAAAAGGGTTTCCTTCTTTAGGGCATTTAAGGCAACTTTTCATTTACGCAATAGTTGGCGTGAACTTCGAGGCCGCGCTGCAGAAGCTGGGAGAAACTTCGACGATGGATAATGGTTAATTCTCAGTGTATAGGGAAACATGCGTGTGAGAATCGAACTACAGGTGCGAAGAAATGAGGCGGAAGAAGAGAGTCTTAAGGGGTCCCCACTCTCATTAATCGCAACGACGACAGAATAACTCCCACGACTACGCTGACAATGCGACCGTTTAAATATGACCAGCGCTTCGGAAAGACTATGAAGGTTGGTTAACGAGCGCAGCTTGCGTAGCAGAGCTTCACGCCAACCTTGTCCAAAGGTCATATCCACGTTAAGGAAAATGATTCCTTTCTGAATTAAAGCGCAAGTAGTTTACTAAATTAAGCGCTTTTGTCGACCGCTGACAGAAGGCGTTGGGCCTGTATTTGCTGGTCGCGGATTTAGGTTTTGTGTCTTCTGCAGCATTACGACTGTTGCTGTCTTCATCATGAAAAGGTGCCAAGGGACATAGTTAGATTTTTATTAGGGAGCACAGATCCTACATCGCTTTTTTTCACCATCTCATTAGTAATGCAATTGGGCCAGGAGCGTCTTATTTGGTTAGCACTTCAAACATCTCTTGAATCCCATCTGCATCAATTAGTTCAAGTGAAAAGGTGGTCTGAGGAAGTGCAATATGAAGGGCAGAAGCATGTTCCAAGTAGACGGTTAGCGAAAAGCTTGGCTTTGTTCCTAGCGCTCGTAGCTACAATATTTCCTTCGCGAAGTGAAGTATGTCGGCAATTTCAGACCCGTTTCATGAACTAGAAAAGGAGAAATTATGTGTATTGCTTATTACATCTTTATTTATACGAGAGGATGAATTAATTATTAATGCTGTAACAAGCCTGAATAAATAAAATCACATGGTTTTAACTTAATTGTTTTTTATCAATTATATTACTATGTCGTTTAATATAACATCAAGCAAAGAATTATTCTTTAGAATGGTTAAAGTTTTAGTAAAAATATCTGCAAATTTTTTAAGCCATTTTCATTTTTAAAAGAAATAGTCTCTTTGTAAGTTTTGAAATGACGCAGTGGTAAGCAATATCCAACTGCCGTAGTCTTATTCAAGCGTTACCAGTTATTATATTTTTAACAGCTGTAAAAGCGAAATTATTTTACTCTTTATCAAAAGCTCCGAGATTAAATTTTTATGGTAATGGTATTTGTTATCACCTAGCTAAAAATTATGTATTCGGGGGGCTTTACTTGTCGTATTAATTTTATTTTAATAATTAAGCCACTGCATGGTATTGCCGATTTTAGGTGCCATACATCTTATTGAAACCATGTCGCCCAGAAAGAATCCAAGTAGCATTCTATCAATATGTTCTGCTCTTCTGCAATCATGTTTAAGAAAGAAAGCTAAAAGTTTTTAGTTAGGTATAAGTAGCCTAATACTTCTTAGCGGTTTCCATATTAAGAGTGTTCTTGTTAAGTAGAAATCTGCTTAAAAGAGTAGTAGTATATGAGACGTCGGGCCTAGTGCTATTAGCTTTGTTGCGTTAAGAACCCGTTATGCCCATTCCCGCATCCACTATCTTAACTTACGAAGTGCCGGTAGAGTTGCGACATGCGATTTTTTAATAGTATTTTAAATTTTAAGATTAACTGTTTAATAAACTGCTCCTGTGTCATAGTCACCAAATCATTTGTAGCAAATATGTCACTTCCTCTCATAATTCACTTACGGCTTCGTCAGACCTAATGTCATAATTCTACGCATAATTTCGAAAAAAAAAAATTGCGCGTTTTCCCACCTGTGTACAAAGTGGTTAGTGAAAAAATTAATTACTAAAAAATATAATTTTGTCGCGAATTCCATTAATAATAACAGCAGATAAAAATTCGGGTATTTGTAAGCAAAGAAATAATGGATTTTTTAAGTAGATTTGGAATAAAAAAACATGTAATAACAGTTGATCATCACCAAATGGGTTAGCTGAGTGAGCAACTGAAACCCTTAAAAAGACTATTGCTAGAGTATGTAATGAATAATATTTGACATTTATAGATGTCTTGAGTCAATGAAATTACATCTATAACAAAGTACTAAGCGTTTCAAAGGTTAGTCCAGTGTACATGTTTTTAAGTTAAAGCTAATTACCGACACTTAATATATCAATAAAATTCAAAAGGTTATAGAAATACTTTTAATTTTAAGAAATTTAATATTTTATCAGCTTGCAAGATGCTGTACTGTCCAGATTATAGAAGTTAAGATAATTTTTTTTACAATGGCGCCCGAGATACGGACAAGCATAGTAAAAGGGAGAGGGGGGGCGGAGGTTGCGCAATTAAAGAGGATACTGGTATCAAGTTATAAACTGTTGATACCAGATAAAAGCATGTGAACATACGAAAATTAAATAAGATTATATTGTAAACGTATATAAGCCCCTCTCAAGGGTCGGCAACAGGCTTTTTGGTTTTGTCCTCGGGTGGGCGTGTAAGCCTCGCTTCCATCTTTAATAAAGCATTTTCTCTTATTCTTCCATTAATCACTAAGGTTTAATTGATACCGCGTGTGAGGGTAAACACAACAGTTATCAAAAATTACATTTCATTTATTTATAACTAGAAGAGAAGCCATTTAAATTGTTATCCGTGGTAGTTATTGTGAACTCGACTTCCACCGTTAGAAACGAACCTGTGCGCGCAAGCCTCACATCCCTCCGGGTGGCGCGGATGCACACGGAGAACACATGTCAATGGTGAACGAAAGGATCGTCCATTACCATTAGTGCTGGTGCATAAACCCAGAACCGAACTACAAAAGTTATATGAACTAAAAACTATTTCCCATCTTCAAAGAAAAGTAGAAGAACTTTGAAAAAGCAATCACGTTGACCAGTGCCACCTCTGCCAGGTCCTAGGCCACACTGCATGTTGGAAGTTAACTCTAATAAATCACCTTCTCATACCATGTGCATCTATTACACACATGTCTGTCCGGTCAGATGCCACGTGACTATCCGCGTGGTATAGCACGTGTTTCTGGTTTTTCCTAGATTTTTGTACATTTTGTATTTCTTCTCCTGAAGGTATAAATACCCTTCTTCGCTCCCTCAGTATATAAAGTATAGAGACACTTTGTTGCTGTTTTTTCGACGTGTATTACTGCTGAAAGCTTTAAGGTAAAAAGTTTTTAAAAACTTTTTCAAAAAATGTGTGATTTTTCAGGTTAATTGAAATTATGAAATTTTCCTACTAATTAACTATGTACCTTAACTTTTTAACCTTGCGAGCTTTTACTTAAAGCCCAATGACTTTGGATATTCAATGCTTTGCGGGTGATATGCTTGCTCCAAATTTATATTTTACTAGCTTAAAAACTCTTGCGAATTATGATTGGAGCAGTGAGAATTATTAATATCAAAAGAGGAGACGTAAAACGAGGGCATCTATTTTTACGCTTTGCGGCCAGGCGTTCCCCTGCACACGGATGTCTAGTACTTAGATGTTTGGGCCCCTCTGTTAGCTCTTTTTTAGTGATAACACTATAATAAGTGAATTATATAAGTATAATCAAGATTATTTAACAATAAGAAATTATATATATCGTTTATTAAACTATCCAGTATATTACTACACCAAGAAAGACCCAGTCTGTACACAACGGGTAACCTAAAACAACAAGAGAGAGAGAAAAGGGAAAGGAAAGAAAAAACAGTCTTTTATGTGACTTTTATACATTAACCCTAACCCTTAATCCTTCCCCCTGTAGTTACTTACCATTTTTCGTGAAATTATTGCGTCAACCAATTTACCAACAAAGCGAAGTTGGCAATTAAAAACTTTAACCTCTCTTGTGTAAAAGAGTTTTTTGTTAAAGGGAACTTAAGCTTTATTTAAGAATTCTTTGGCCTACTTTGATTATGCAGCCGTGGCGTGGTCTTATGGTCAAGGAAATATTTTATAAAGCAACTTCAAGCTATTTATAATCGACTATTGCGACCTTATGGTTTGTCCAGGGTGCTCCTTCGCATGGTGACCTGAAGTGAAAAAGCTTCCTGAATCTCACCGTCGCATTACTGGAGGAGAGCTAAGAATAAATTACTTAGCTCCTCCCCACGATGTATTTGTTCAGGACTTAATCTATGACACACACAGGAGACCACGACATCGTTTTACCACCCTAACGGTCTCCCAGCCTTAGAAGACTTCTCTCTTAAGTTATAAATCAGATAAAGTAGTATTATGGTCCACTTCTAATTTTAGCCGGGCTGTAATATGACAACTTTTTAATAAATAAAGAAATGTTGAAAGTTTTTAAATTTTCCCACAGTTTTATTAGTTAACTATCATTCTACATAATCCACTTGACCTTAAGTTCTCCTAACGCTAGAGGTTTAATTAGGTTGCAGGGTTAAGCCATTAAATATTGTAAAATTTCCCGGTCGGCCGAAAAGTTAACGCATTTTTACAAATAAAGGTGTTGAATCCCGGCAGAAAGTTATTCAGAAAAGGGCAAAATGACAGCTATAGTTTCTTTTTGCAAGTATTGCTGACTCACAATTTAGTCTTTCTAACTTACATTTGTGGTTATTTTGTTCTTATTTATCAGTTATACACAGTCGAAAGGTGTCCACTTAAAGACTAAACTTTTTCTTCCCATATAAATTGATGCTATTTTACCTTAAACCTTTATATTACTAACCTTTATATATATAAAAAAAATAAGAGAGTAGGTCACAATTTCAACATTTCAGCAAACACAGCAGTAAAGTAAAGTTGCTTTTTGACTCTGCACACCAGCCAAACACAAAGTTTAAGTAGAAATTGTGTGTTCGACTAGCGCGGTCATTTTATTTACTAAAATGTACTTTTATACTAACTTTTAACTTATACATTTAGAGCGAAAAGTAGAAAATGTAAATAGGTGTTAATCTATAATAAATAACAAGCTTACTATTTAAGTACAAATAAACATAGTCAATTGGGGCCTCAAAAATAGATATATGAGGTAGTTAAGCAAGGTAACTAGTTAACGGATTACTTTAAACCCACTCTGATATATAGGAAAGTATAGCAGTATATAAGGTCAGATAGTTAAAATTCGCAAATGGTTTTTTAAAAAAAGGTATAGTAGTTTATTATATGTTAGTATATACATCAGTATATCCTATCTTTTTTTATAACTTGAAGTAAACGATGTTTATACTCATGTGAAATTTTCCTTTTCTATGAAAGTCAATCTGGTAAAAAGCAATATTATGTGATAGTAACGCTGCTTCGGGGTGTCGGTCGGTTCCTAAAAATTATTTTTTTTCTTATAATAGCAACGGAAGTATAGTAATCTAAGAAATTAAAGTTATAAACTATAAAACTAATAATTATTTTATATAACTGCCAACAGCTTCAAACCCTTGTGAATTTTCCAATATATTTCTATTCTTTTGAAGTAGAAAAAAAGGTGAAGCCAACGACTCTTCTGTGCCCTCCAGTATATGACAGTCTAGTTCAAGAGTTGCTTTTCCCTATAAAATATATACTTTTTATTCTCTATATATATAATTTAATTAAAAATAATTTAACAGATTTTGTTATAAAAATATTAGGGGATAATAACATTGCTCTCTAATTTAATCCTTCCAATTTTTAATCCATCAATGACTTCAGCACTTGTTTTTAGAATACCTACGCTTGAAAAAAGACTTCTAAAACCATATAAAGAACGATTATTAACAAAAGCTATTTTTGCCTTGCAATTCAATAATCATTAACTCCTTGCAATATTTCTCGGAGATATAAACGGGAATTATCATCAGTTAACATCCTAAAATTGTCGCTCGTGCTAGCGTTTTGCATGCTTCCTAAGCCCTCCAAAATCCCCACGTCGGTTTAAAAAAAAAGTTTTAATAAAAATATTAACTCTTAAAGATTATGTACTAAATATTTTTAAGTTATTTTTAATTATTAACCTATCTTTTGTAAAATCGCTTTGACATTACGTAAGAAAAGCACATATCGTTTAACGCTTGTTTTTTTAAAAAAAAAAAATCACATAGAACCATTTTAAAGGTTTTGAAATATATGACTTTTTTAAGTAATATTAAGTTTTTAAAAGCATATATTATCATTAGTGATTTTTAGCTTCTCTACGTATAAATGTGTGAGGTCCTGACTAATTATCTTCTAATAAGGATCCTCTTAATAAAAATTTGAAATTTATGGGATTGGAAATAAGAAATATACCACTCATAAAACTGCATGGTGCCCCTCAGGGGCTCTCTACTATCACCATTATTCTCCATATAAACAATGCGACATTCCCTTTCGTACCAACAAAATTTCCCTAGCTCTATACGCTGGCCACACTGTCCTATATTGTAGTCCGAAATCAACTGCTTTAGCAATTAAATATGTGCAGGCTTTTCTTTGTACACTTGTAAAATGGTTTGCAAAGTGAAAAATTACGATAAAACCGACCAAAAACCACCCGATGATCATCTTAAGAAAAAGAAAAGGGGAAAAATTAAATCTCTAACTCTACCGCAAACATCCCCTCTTTGGTTAATTAAGTAAAAAATACCTTGGCGTTTTTACTGACTCTAAAAAATTTAGAAAATAAACGCCTTATATATAAAGCTATTATCTGACCTATTATTAGTTACACGTATGTCTCATAGTCTTACTGCACGTCGTTGCATATAAACAAACTTCAGGTTCTTCAAAGCAACCTCCTTAGAATGTTTACAGGCGTGCCTTAATTTGCGCGAAATTCCCAATTACATCATAAATGAGAAATTAAACCTCTTTTTCTTTATCTTAAACGGACGGCCATATAATGTTTTACACAGTATGAAGAACACCCCAACAATTTAATAACTAACGCCTCGAATCTATACTCCCGAACGTTTTTTTAAATTATTAACGACCTAAACATTTTATGGATCTAAAAAACCGAATTTTGTAACGTCTTTAGAACATTATTACACGATTATAATATTCTAGATTTTTTTGGGGAAAAATGCTTTAAACGCTTAAATCGCAAAGGCGTCGGCGTCTTTATGTTATGAGAGGTGACCGGAGAGACCTTAATTTGTAAAAGAGGCTACCCTCCTCAACCCTTTCCGCAATGAGGGAATTTAGGTTAAGCAGTTGAAGTTATAGCAGATATAACGGCTGTAGTATTTCAAAATGATATATAAATAAAACTGCAAAAGTTAAAGGATTATATTATTTCAAAATCTATCTATAGAGATAGTTCAACTCTGCAGAGAGACCAGACACAAGACGTCCAACGCTTTTTCGCTTTCCGCGTTCATACCGTTTTGTATGGGGTCTGAGCATCTCGACTTCTTACATGGAATTTGCGACAAATTTATAACTTAATTACAGAGCGCTTTTTTTTTATTTATTTAAATTTACTTATATATCAGAAAATTTAAATCACCTAAATTACTGACTTATATTACAGACCTTACATATATAATATATTCTTATATTTTTTTTCTTTCTATTTCTTTTTTCTTTTGGAAAATATATTTATCTTCATATTAATTATGAGTCCCTACTCTAAAGAAGAGCTTTAAGCATTCAATTCTAACTTATTGGCTATAAATAAAGAACTTAGAAAAGAGTTAGATTCTACAAGGCAAAACCTTTAGAAGTTCCTGAAACCACTCATCATAAAAATAAGACTAAAAAGTGAAAGGAGGTTCGTGATAGTATAACTAACAGTAATAATGTATTGATTCCCACTTTACAAATTGTAGCTCAACTATATTCTTCGGAAGTGATACTAGAAAGAAGCGAGACTCGAGTCTTTTTACGGTAAAATAGCTGATATTAATAATAATAGCAGTAGTAACAATATCTAAAAACTAATAGTTCCCATATTAGCGTCATTAATAATAAATATTAGAACAGTATAGTCAATAATATATACATTAATATAATAAAAATGTTTAGAAGTAACAATAATAGTTTTAAGTATACGGATAACACGGAGAATATCCTTAATGGTGAACGAAGAAACGTCTATTACCATTAGTGCTGGTGCACTCTATTTAAAGGTAAAACTATAGTCGCGAAAATAAAATTTACATGCTCTTCAACACAAATCTTACCAGCTATTACGAGGGACAAACGCTCTCATTCTTGTCCTTAATTACCAATATTGATTTTTTAGCTAACCCGTCTAAATATGTTATCGTTGCCAAGTTAATATACCCAGAATCGAACGTCGAAAACTATTAGAACTGAAGACTATATCCCATCTTCAAATCAGTGTAAAACATTTTCGAAAAAGCCATAGCGTGGGCCAGTGCCACCGCTGCCAGAACTTTGGTCACGATGCAAACCTTTGCGCTGCGGAAATTCGGTGCGTCAAATGCGGAGAGGGTCATTTGACCTCGAAGTGTTCCATAACACGAGACTTACCTGCCAATTGCGCGAATTACGTGAAGACCCATACCGTCAACTACCGGGGGTGCAAATATTCCTCACGGAGGATTTTAACAGCCGACCACTTTACGCAACCCCGTTACCCACTTCCCAGTTCGGATGCTACCATTAGCCCAACTATATTCTTTTGTTTCCCGGCTGAGAGCGAGATCGCACCTAGCGCTCGGTGAATAATCTTACGTTGACAATGCAGATTCAGCTACCAACAACAAGAACAGCGCAATTTTGACGACTAAGCTCTCGAAGATGCTGGAGACCGTGAAAGCCTTAAAATTTGTTTGCGTTGAGTCTTCATATTAAATCGCTTAACCACAGCCAATTACTTTTTGCGAATGCGGAGGAGGACTCGAAAAAAGAACACGACCGCAACGCGAAGGGATAGGTATCTGTGTTGTCTGCGAAACATAGTTCTCCTCAAATGTACCATTTAATCTACAACTTTGTGACATATCGTCAGGATAGGTTGTACATTAGTGGTGGGAGAGTAGCTATCCTAAACAAAGCTTGTAACACAATTTAATAGCGTACAAATCCTGCAAAGAATCGAGGCAGCAGTTGGTATTACCCTCAACTGGAGAGACTGGGGTCCAGGACTGTAACTGCAATCTAAAAACCGCCCAGCCAACCACTCACGTTGTTCGATCTTGACGCTCTTTTGGCGCATGCCTTCCCGTCATTCTATGGGGGGTTTTAACTTCAAATATCTTGCGTGGAGCAGCCAAGTTGCAAGTCGGAATGGCCTCATCCTTGAGGCTTGCGTTGAGGAACGCGGGATGAGAGTCCTAGTACCACAGTTGCCAACATACATGGCGGGGAAGATGGGCCCAAATGGACGTGCTGGATATTGCTGTGTTAAAAAATATATTCCTTTTAAATGCTATCGAATTAAGCGACGAAAAGTAAACAATAAAGTCATCCCCTCGATCTTACACGAATTGGAAAGAATTTACCGAATTGTTGGGGAAGGCGCTCCCACCGATTACGACACCACTTCGCTAAACTAACGGTGCATTTGTCGAGTTTAACCGCGCGATCATAGAAGCTCACCACAAGGAAACGACGACACATGGGTATCTGTACATCCTAAACACCTTTCGAGGAACTGAAGGCATTCATAAACGAGCATCGGCGACTCATCCGAGTAACCACAGCCTTTAACGCCTAGAAGACAAACTAGTACACTCCGCCTCCACCGGTACATCAGAAAAAAGCTGATGGCGCATATAAATTGCCAATGGAATTATAAATTAAACGAAGTATAGGAAGCTGGTGACGTCGGTTGCGCCTCCTTTTAAAAAGTTGTCAAGCGAGTTAGAAATAACAGGCATTCGACTCGGGCACCAGTTTTCCATGATACCGTAGCCAAAAGCAATGAAGACAAAGACAAACTTTTGTTAATCATTAGCTGCCCAGTATACGCCGTCTACCATCTCAACCGTCGATAATGCCACCCTTGTGGTTACTCTTGATACAACTGATCTTTTGGTATCTTCTATAGATGAGATCAAATCAGTTGTTCCATGACTTCCAAAGCGAAAGCCGCTCCGCCCTGACGGCATTACTAACCTGTTGTTAAAACAACTACCAGAGGCTGCTATGAATCTTCAGTGCCGCCTCTCAACTCGGTGTTGGCCTTCAGTTATTTCCCCGGGCGATGGGATATGGAGGTAGTCGTCATGCAACTGTCGACCCAGCCCTTTGCCGGCAGTTGGTAAAACGCGTTCCCTTGTTGGCGTGAAGAAAACGCGGTTTTCTCAAGCGAAATACTCGGGAGTCGTTATCGGCAACAAACTTTCCTGGCAACCGCACGGGGGCTATCTTATGGCAAAGATCAAGTCAGCAGCTAAGGCGCTTTACCTTTTACTATGCGGTAAAAACAAGCTTTCCCTGCGAAACAAACGGCAATTGAATGTCTTATATCCAGCCAATAATGACATGCGCTTCTGCTGCTTAGACCTACGACTCCATTGCAATAGCGTTGACACTTCCAATGCGACAGAACAAACTGCTGGTCTGTGCAAAATAAAACTCTTCACCGGGGCCTGCGGCTGGGCTCTTTTGTCGTCTTCCAGAATCTATATTCTCTATTGTGCAGAAAAAGTAAACTTTTGTTGCGCAATAAGGGAAGGCTTTATGTGCTGTTTAAAGCTAATTTTATTCTTTCACTTTGGTGGTAAGAATCTTAACAACTTTAGGAAAATTAAATTTGCTTTGTGCGTAGATTCGTTACCTAGTTTTACCAAGAACATAGATTGCAACAAAACTAATAATACATTTCAACAAAGAAAGTTTATCTGGGTTAGTATCTACATTTTAAGCTTTGGCTCGTGTTTAGGTTAAAATTATTAAGGGTCTGTTCATTGTGAAGTTGTGCGAAACAAAGTTTTAAAGGTAAAATATATTCTTTCTATTACCACAAAAAACGTCTCATCTTAATTTTACTCACACTTTATATAACTAGTAATTAATATATGTAGCCATTTTATTTATAATTTTTCAACTCTATAAACAGTTTAAACTAAAATTTATCTTTATAAATTATTTGTCAAGCGGATTTAACGTAAAAATATTTTTTATTACGAGGTGGCACTGCCACACTCTCAGAAGGATCACATAGTTTGTTTGATTTAGCTTGTAGCGTTAGTACTATAAGTGTTATAACGGGTTTCTTTTCTAAAAGTTTCAGTGAGTAAATACTTTGCTCTTCAAGATCGTCTGTAAGCAAAACGGGTTAACAAAGCGCTAAACTCTCTCGAGGCCGCTGTGTCCTGTGAAGTCACTGGATCTTTTTTCATTCTGGCCAGACCAATTGTGAGACGCTTCCTTTTTTGGCCCGCCGCAGGAGTGCAAGTGTTGAAAGAGTAATCTACCACGTGCCTCAGCAAAGAGTCATTCAGGCGGGGGCTCTCGTCAAGCTTGGATTGTAGGTTCTTTAAAGGCGTTACACTGTTTTTCTTTTCTTCTGCTTCATGTGCTTTTATCTTGTGAGTCAGTGTTTTTTTATAGGGTCTGGAATCTGAATTAAGGACACAGTCTTTTTTAAAAGGGGAATTTTTTGTAAGTGGCAACTGCTCCTGATCATTAGTTTCATCAATAGAGTCTTTTATGAATATTCATAAGTATTTTATAAACAGAGGAAAAATATATTTATAAAAGTAAGTCAGAGAGACAGAAATAATAATAAAACATGCCGAAAAATCTGTGCAAAGTGTCTCCTTGAGGCTTCAGTTTTGCTAAGATTTTATATTCCTTCTTATTTTTTGGTGTTATATCAATAGTCAGGCGTTCATTCCTACAATTAGTTGTGTGTAATTGATAAGTTTTATAAGTGATCGGATCCAAATCTCCGATGGCGATTTGGTAGGCCACGCCGGCGTCCAGTTCTCTATAGGGAAAAACTACTTATATGCGGATTTTATAAGAGCGAATAGGAAGTCTTTACGGGCCGATAAAATTACTGATAACTTCCTCACAAGTGCCGCCTTCAAAATCTGTAAGCGGAACGACTTTCTGGAGGGAAACGTCGTAAATACGTTGGTGCCTGAAAGCTGCTTCTGCTTTGTGAAAGTTTTGAAGATAATCTTCAGGGACGTTCCACTTGCTAGATAGTCTTAAGAACCGCACCACCTTACAGAGATTACGAAATTAAATTATAATAAAAATTAGGCAAGGCGGACCTCTTCTACAGTTTCATAGCGAGAAAACAATTCATAAGCACGCTTGATGCCCATTCCCTGCAAAGAACGGAGATAGTCGCAGCCGGCTAAAATGCACATCTGCCGAAATTTCTCCATCGACCAGTTTGTGAATCGAACTCCTTAAAGAAAATTTTTTAGATTTTCGAAAAATAAAAAGTAGTAATTCGCCGCACCGTTACTTGTTACTTGAACCAGTCGTTCTCTTTTGTACTCTACAACGTCCCCAGTGTTATTAAGTTTGAAAAGTATCTAAATTTAATTTTTTTAATTAACGTTGTACTGAGAAAAAGAAGCGTCGGACTATTACAGTCTCGCAACCAAAAGGGATCAAGTCAGAATCTTCAGTTAAGGCTGCAGAGGCAAGCCCGTTGCTAACTAAAAAAACCAACTGCGCATCTGCTTCGTAGGGAGCAACCACATAACGGATTCCTAAGCGCTTGCACAACTTTTATGATAAACAATAGTGATCTTTAGTGTACTTTAAATAAAAAGTTAAGAAAAAGTAATTAGGTAATAGGGAAAATTAATCACCTTTATTACTTCAAAGGCCATTTTGGGAGTCACATCAATACACTTTTGAAAGCGCTGAAAAGCTGCACTTTTCTGCCCTCTTTTCAGTAGACGAAATCCTTCTTCTTTACTTTTAGATCTTTTTCTAAAGTTATTTAAAAACTTTATTGTTGTTTTGAACAGTATTGCAATACTCACAATTCACGCTCTTTTTCTGTATTCATCTTTGCAGGTAAAAGCTGACCGTCGAACACCAAGTAAGGCTGGACACCGCAACGAAGAAGAAGGTCAATTTTTTTTTTACAAAACTGAACATAACTATTATAATGGTGTATTTTGATTCAAAGAAAAAACTTTTAAGATTATAAACTACTTATTCGTGGCTTTCCCCTCCGCAAGTTCCAAAGCACAACTGTAGGATCCTTTATGGAGCCAAACATACGCGTCCACCGCTATAGTTTGTCCTGAATATTCCTCAAGGTGTCCTTCCCGCAAAGCATCTTTTAAAAAGGGTAAAAGCCCTTTTAATAATACAATACAATAAAGGTATAACTTTTGATAAACAAAGTATATCAAAACCGTTAATTCCCATTATAAAAGGAAGCAAGTAATTAAGTTTGCAGGTGATAGTTGACTTCGATATGAGTCATTACAGATAATTTCTAATAAGAAAATGTAGTACAACTTAAACTCTGACCAAAGCCATTCTCTTTATAAACTCAAGAAAATTTTAGCAACCACTATATTTTAGAGTGAAGGTGGGCAAGCCACATTCACCGCACAGCAGCATTAGTTTTGGCGCCGAAGCTCGAGCGGTTGAGGTAGTCAGGGTTGGAATGGGAGCTTTCAGAACTTGGCAACTATTTGGCACATAGAATATATAATTTTTGTTTTTCTATAAAAAAAAATTACCAGCCGAAGAAAACGTTAAAATCGTGTTAGACTGGTAATACATAAAAAACTTGAGTACTTTTAAGTTATAAACACTCCATAACATTTATCCCGCCCCTAAACGCCCACGCTTTAAATAACATAAGAAGGAATAAATTTAAGATTATTCCTTCAAATACGATTTTTAAATATTTCTTTAAATAAAATTAATCTTAATTTCTAGGGAAATTAAAAATGATTTGGGCCAAAGTTTGTAAATTCGCTTTTAAAGTCAAGGCTTTCATCAGCTTTTTATCATTTCCAGAATTAATTGGTAGACATATATCTCTAGCTTTCATTAAAGGTTTTTCACCACTGAAAATCGCCACTGTACGCCTTTTAAGTACACTTTAATGCTTAGGAAAGAGTACAGAGGCTGCTCACCTTTTGATTTTTCAAGAATATAAGAAGAACAAACTATTATAAAGAAAACTTCCTACAACCACCAATTTTGAGTTATATACTTAAACTCACAGATGGGACTTTAAACTACAAAAAAATTTACATTCTTGGTTTTTTTTAAATGTAAGGAAACTTTTGGCAATATATGACAGAGGTATTATGTACCCAATGCTCAAGTGAGCATTCCCCTTAACAGAACTCTAATTTTAAAAACTTAAATGATGGCTTCCATATAGGGTTTCTTATGTTTAACATACCTATTTCTACTGCACTAACTTTCATGGTGGTATATATTGATGACACTCTATTTACAATACCACTGAGTTGGCACCTCAATAGCAAAAAAACAAAATTGAATAAATTTTAATACATTAAGTTTTACCTTGACTTAATTGATGATTAACAAAGCAGAACGTAGTTTTCAAGCAAAAGATAGAAGCGAGTAATAAAATTTTATTTCTACCTCCCGCACCTGGTATCTGGTTAAATATCTCGAGGTCTATCTAGATAAAAAACTACACTGAAAGGCCCACATTATATACTTAAAAAAAAAAAGTACAACGCACACTTTATATCGCTATTATGCAATGTAGTGCATTAGACATTTGATAAAAAATGAACTTTTACTAACTTAATTTAGATCATTAATGAGTTGCTTACCACTGGTAGGCCTTTACTCGACATTAAACTTAGGTAGAATACAACTTTTACAATATAATTTAAAAATTAATTCCGGGGGCTCCTTGACTTGTAAGTTTTTTTTCAGTTATAGCACAAGTGGGAACTTGTGTGCATTTTATTTATATTAAGCGCGTAGCCGAAAACTGCTTAAAATCATATACGTTAGCTGCTTTCCTAAATTATTCCTCGTTTTTATAAAAAGAGATGAAGGGAAAATCGAAACTTTGCAACTTTAAAAAGGTACCCTTCTTACAATGGATGCATTTTATTCTACAAAGACTAAGAGATGTTCATATCCAGCAGTTAAGAGCATTGAGTACAAATAGTAGGTCGTTAGTTCAAGCCCCATTGTCGCCACTCTCTTGTTGGGCTTTTATCGGTTGCTTAATTTAACCTTGATTTCATAAATTCTAATAGATCAAACTTTATCTATCAGTTTTGTCACCTCGGTACAAAGTAAACGCCCACCAAAAATGAGCGGTGTTAAGAATTTATACGTACACAAAATAAAATGTAACAACACAGATACAGAAGCAAGAGACAAACAAAAGGACGAAAGGAGAAGGCGCTAAACCTTAATAAAATAGTTGAAACTAACTGAATAACTTGATGTATGATAGTTACAAGCCAACAGGCAAAAAGTTATATATAAAGGCATCGAGTTCTTACGGTTTGATGCCCCTTCTGATAAGCATGCACTATTGGGCGGCTTTGGGTTTAAAGTTAGATTTCAATAATTTTATTATAACCTTTTTGTTAATTGTAAAGAACATTTTTTATTAATTTTTGATGTTAAAAAGTAGACAATATACATATTTGCATTTAAAAAGTATCTAGGTTTTCACTCTCTTGAGCACTTGTAGATGAGGTGACCACATATACCCTCTTCCTTAATTTATCATTTATATGTAACGAGAGTTACTCGCCCGCAGGGCTTCTCAACGCAAATTACAAGCAGTAGGCATGTGGCTTAGTTAGACCCATTTTTATGTATTTATACGCTCTTAATATGTGAGTGGAGTTAGAGATTGTTAAATAAATTACCACAGGTTCTATTATTCTCTTAACTTACCTATATTATATTATTTTATTTATATGATTTCGTGTTCTACGATATAAAATTTTGTTTCTTTTCGACAATTTCTTATGTATTCTAAATTAATGGTGCTAATTAGGTGACAAGGTTAAAAAGGGAGAATAAAAGCGAAGAAAGCAATTAAATAATGGCGAATGCTAACATTATGTTTATAATATTATAATAACTTAATTAAAGATATTTTTTAGTTATGTTTACCTCCCTTGTGGTAATATATTAAATATTTACTTTCTAAAAATTAATATATATTTTTTTTAATTTGTTGTCATTGTTAAATGATATTTCCTAAATCTAAATAAAACAAATTATAATAACCTTTATTACTTCAACGTATTTTTACCTTTTTTGCTTATATATATATTTTTTCTATTACAACGAGCATTAAAATGCCCGGAAAATCATATAGAAATCGTTATTAAGACATGTTAATATTATAATTTATAAACACCACATAGTAATGAGGGACAACGCGGGCAAGGGCAAACAAAGGGCAAAAAAGAAATATATATATATCACTGAGGATTCGAATTAGAAAAAGGTTTAACTAAAAAATACAACAGTAAGGCACATCTGGGATTTAAAAAAGAGGAAAAAAAAGATTCTATAAAAGAACTTAGCACTGCACTATAAAACATTATTTTATTATACAGAAAGATTTAAAAAATAAGCTTGGCAGCTAACTATAATTAAGATTAAAACGGTGCAACTAATTAGCATAGATAGCATTAATAGTATTTTACATACCTGGCTTCATAACTTTGTGTCCATAAGGGTAATAGGACTTTTTATGCGCTATTTCTAAAACTTTAATAGCTTTTGTGATGAACAGTTTAATTATCATCTTTTACCACTGGGCCCCGTTGGCATTTGAGAAGGACTTCTTAATTTAGATAATCCCAGTATCTTAAAAAATTGTAAAAGGTTAATAATTTAAAAAAAGAGATGGATATTAGTTAAATACAGAGTTTAATAAAATTAAATTATCGTAGGTTTTTCATTAATTTCTTTTGACCTTTGAATTTTACTCTTCTATTTTAGTTTCCCATCTCAGTATGGTATCTTCAATTAACTATTTTTGTAATAATACTAGTAAACCCCCCTTTTGGCAAGTTTAACTCATACCGTTTTTGGAGTACAAATTTAATATGATAATATTTACATTTTTATAAGCTCTATAAAATCTTGTTCTTTACTTTTATGACACTAAAGGATGCCACCATCTAGCAGAATTAGCTATCCCGAAAAGGTAAATTCTATCAAGTAAAAATTATTCTGTACGGCTTTATACAATTTTAAAATATAAAAAGTTTTTTCTAACTCAGAGAACAGCATTTTATAAATAAAATAAAGGTAATAATCACTATTTTAATATTAATAAAAGGGTTATATCAACGGTAAATGGAGTGAGGCAAACAGTGGAGCAACTTTTAAAGTTTTAAACCCTGCCTCTTTAGAGGGTAATCAAATTTTATAAGCTTATAATTAATAACTCTTATGTATGTTAAGAAATTTGTAGCGTGCCAGATATGGACGTTAAAGACCTTAAAGAAGCAATATCGGCTGCTTCAAATGCCTTTTATAAATGGAAAAACACTACACCTAAAGTATGTTGTAAAAAAGCAATGCTGGGCTATTCTTACTGAAAATTTATTTGAAAATTTATACTTAACCTACGCTTATAAACTAATTTAAAAAAATAGACTCGCGCAAATATACTAAAAAAATGGCACGACTTAATTGTGGAAAACAAAGAGGAATTAGCTCGAATTATAACTTCCGAGCAAGGGAAAACTTTAATCGAAGCTAAAGGAGAAGTAGATTATAGTGCGTCCTATATTGAATGGTTCTCAGAAGAATCAAAGGTGGAGACTTTTTGTGTTTAAAACATTATTTCACTTTGCTGTGCCCGCTCTTTTTTATTAAATTATGTGTACAGAGAATGTACGGCGATATTATACCTCCTGGGACCAGCAATCAAAGACTTGCTGTTATTAAACAACCCGTTGGTGTTTGCGCTCTTCTAACACCGGTAATTAATATCGAAATAATATTTGCGGTAATATATCAAAGTTTGGGAAGCAAAATATCTTACAACCAAAGAGAAATTCAGATATTTCTATACTTTTTCAGTAATAATATTCTATTAAACGCCTTAGAACATATAAGGGTTAAGAAATTTATAATTGGGCTACAATAGAAGTTATTCTTGTGATGTAACCATGTACGGTTAAAAGTAGTTACAAGTATTTACTACCAGTGGAACTTCCCAATGGCAATGGGTGCCAGAAAAATCGCCCCTGCACTAGCCTCTGGTTGCACTGTTGTCTTAAAACCATCTCAGAAGACGCCTTTGTCCTCACTGTCATTGGTCAAGCTCGCTGAAGTCGCTGGGACACCGCCAGGAGTCATCAACGTTGTTACCACCTCTCACACTGGTACCTATCGTACTACGCGTCCCTGGCCATTTTAATATCCTTCTAACTTGTCGCCTTATTAGCTGATATTGGCAATGAGCTTGCCTCTAATCCAGATGTTAGAAAAGTTTCTTTCACAGGCTCCACGCAAGTGGGAAAGCAACTCCTTAAATTGGCTGCTAGCACCGTTAAAAAGGTTTCATTCTTCTGTGCTTTGGTTTGTCGTGTTAGTTTACTAACCAAAGTCACACGAATGATATAGGTTTCTATGGAACTTGGAGGGAATGCACCTTTTATTATATTCGATGATGCCGATCTTGGTAGTCTGTTATCAATTTGACTGAGTATAAGTTTTCGTTGACCCTCAGTACGGGCAGATATGGCTGTCAAAGGCGCTATTGCAAGCAAATTTAGAAACTCTGGCCAAACGTGTGTTTCAGCGAACTGTATTTTTGTGCAAAGCGAAGTTTATGAGACTTTTTCTGATCGGTTTATAAAAGCTGCTCGTGGTGAGATGTTTTTATCTTGAATATAATTTTTTAGTTTATGTTAGAACTTTATTTTAGATTTAAAAGCTGGCAACGGTCTTGAGGAAAACGTGGATTTCGGACCATTAATTAATGAACAGGCGCTTAAGAAGGTCAAGGCATATGTAGATGATGCCGTAGCCAAGGGGGCGACCTTAGCCCTTGGTGGTAAGGTTCATTCACTTGGAGGTATAGCTCTTTGACTTCAACTATAATCAGTTGTAAATTACTTGTATGCAGGAAACTTCTTTGAAGCTACAGTTCTTAAATACGTTAAAGCGAATAAGGATCTACTAGAAAAAGAAATATTTGGTCCAGTAGCGCCTTTAATTTGCTTTCAGTCGGAGGAGGAAGTCCTTCAGGTATAAACTTATATATTAATTAAAGTAATTATTGTAACCAAATAACATTTTCTTGTTGCTTAGCTGGTTAATAGCACAAGATTCGGCCTTGCGGCTTACTTCTACACGAAGGACCTGCAAAGATCGTGGAGGGTCTCAGAGGCTTTAGAATTTGGTATGATCGGCCTGAACAGCCCATCCGTCTCCACTGAAGTCGCTCCGTTCGGTGGAGTAAAAGAAAGCGGAGTTGGACGAGAAGGCTCAAAGTACGGACTGGACGACTACACAGAGATTAAGTATATTTCTTTATAGTATTTTTAATACCTGATCACTGCTGTTGTTAAACAGTATTTCTATTTTCTAACTTAAAATATGACTTAAGATCGATCTGCATCGGCAATATAAGTGCTTAGCCTTGCATGGGACCTAAAAAGAAACTATAAAAATTTTCATTAGTTTTAAATAAAAAACTATGATAATAAAAATTCTTTCTTGCTCTATTTAGATTTCACATAAATATTTCATTGCCTTTGGTATTTTGTAATTTTTCCGCGCTCGAGCATACCCCAGGACGTTAGTTGGTTTTTAAGAAATCATATTCGCACTTTGGGGGAGTGTATTTTCGGTAATATCATTTAGTAGTTCTAACGATATATAGCGACATTGTACCACCTTTGCTTGGTGGAACGCACTACAATTGTAAACATTTATGTTGTACAATTTATTAATTTAAAGAAATAATTCTATAGACAAATTTTAAAAAAAAAATAGTTTTATTTTTTTCACTCTGCTTGTATACTCTGTACAATAGTTTTATAACTTGTATAAAATGAGATCGCTAAGGTGGGAAAGTTGCCTGCTTTAATCGGAAAAATTTTGTAGTGCTGTGACTTAGCCTAAACAATTAAGAACAACCGTAAGTTCTCAAACGTTAACAAAAACACGAATACTAATATTAACGAGTTACATAATTTTACTTTAAAAAAAAAAATAGAATAATTTAAAAAACAGCAGTGTACTTTTATAAAAGTTCACGTATTTAAATACGTTAAGCTTTGACCAGCCTTTTTTTTTCAAAGCTTTTTTGCACTCTGTTGAAAACTTATATATATTTGTTTTATTTATAAATATATAAATTTTCAATTTTTTTAATATAGTTTTTTTATATTAAAATTCATTTTTTAAGTTATGTAATAAAGAGCTTTTGATTCACAAAAGTGCTCTGAGTAATTTTATAATAATATTTTATATTTTTATGAATTCGGCTTCTCTTCATTACAGTACAACTTCCTACCTTTTATAATTCTATCCCTTTTCCCTATTCCTACGCTTTTTTTATTTATGCAACCTACAAGAAATTAATATTTAACAAATTAACTCCGCTTTATAATATAAAAAACAGCTGCTCCATAAGCCTCCTTAAACAGAGCCATGATCTTTTCAACGTATCCTAACTTTACGCTGCAAAAGTAGATAGAATTTAATTTTACCAGGGAAATTATTGGATATAAAGTAGCTGCTCAAAAAAGCTGACATAATGTACTTAAGTTCGAATCAATGACTGTCCTACAGGTAGCTATAAGAAACTTAATAATCTGGAATTGCAGTAAATGCGGCAAAGACGTATTTAGCAAAAGTAGCTGGTCACTTTAACGGATTGTCATAATGAAAATAAGAACTCAGTCCTTTTACCTGTCGGAAAGGAGTGCGAAGTACACTGAGGGAGTTTGTTATAGCAATACAAATAATAATGAGCTCTGCTGAACAAATGAACTTAATCGTATATGCGGAGATAAGAAAACCTGAAAAAATTAAACTACGGCAAAATAGGGCAACTGAAATACAATAAATTCTTTTATTCTCTATTACTAGCATAAACAAGAAAATACACGAACATACGCACATTAAACTCTAAAAAGTCCTTATATACATCTACTAAGTAATCAAAACTTTTAAAACTAAAATTTGACAATAATTTGTAATTAAGCAAATTATATGCACAATTACCGCTTCCACCAGCAATTTTTAATGATCTTCTATACAGGAAACACAACTTTTAATAACATTCTTTGACTAATATTAATAATTTGGGGGCTAAAAAAATATATAATTCTACCAGAAGAAAATAGTTTCCTTTTTTTTTAGCAGGAAAAATATTTTAATGGCTATAAATTAATATAGAAAATTAAGTACACAAAATATTAAGTTTTCTTAAAGAATGAACACATTCTACAGAATATGTATAACTATTTTTTATTTTTTCTGAGGTCACAATAGAGGACGTCAGCTTCTTCTAAAGAGACGCCTTTATTATATCCTAAAAATGTCTTCGTGTAGTCAGCATTTTTAAGATAAACCGCGATCTAAAGAGATTTAGTAAAAAGTGTTAAGTGCAGTATTATAAAGATACTTTATACAATAGATATATTATTGTTAACTACACAAATAATTTAAAAAAGATAAGAAAAAAACCTCACTGCCCACCTCCAAGTTTGGCAGGTTTTGAATTGGTAAGTAAGCAAACCTACGTTATAAGTTATTAATAAATTAATTTGCTAAAAATAAAAAGAGTAAAGATCAACTAATTTCAATAACACAATATATATTTCAAAAACCATTTTAATCCTACATCGATCTTATAAACGTTTTCTTTTTTATCAACTATTTTTCCAATTAACACAGGGCCATTAACACCAGCTATTTTCGCAAATGCGCTATTTCTAAATTTATGCTTATACAGGCAAATAAAAGGAAATAATCAATAAAAAGTCACAAGCAGAAATGAACTCTATAAATTATATAGATAAACTTACAACGAAAGAATCTTCATCATGCTCAACAAAAACAGGCAAACTATCCTCACGATGAGGTAAAAGACAGGAAACTTTATACATGGGATATATGAATTGTGCAAATCCAAGTTTACGTAAAGGATTGGAAAAATGGTAATATAACTTGAGTAGGTTCATTGTCACCGCCGAAACTGGTAATTGAAAAATAAAAAAATTATAGACTATATTTAAAAATACATTAAGTTATACTTTAGGATTTTCCCGAAAATCAGTATTTAGTATGTAAAACTTATTACGGTAACAAAGATAATAAGATTTAATATAAATACACTCACGTTAAACTTGCATAACAAAAAAATATTAATTCTTTATATAAAATTACAATATAATAAAATTTTAAGAGATATTTAAATAAAATACTTGCGTGTTGTAGGTAGTTATAGGCTGCACGTACGAGTGAGAACTCAAATTAAAACTAAAACTAAATGTAAGCCGCTCTTTCTTTTCCTCCTTTGCTTTAAGTTGTGAAGGTGTTTCCACTGAAATGCTCTGGATCTATCCAAATTTTTCTTTTAATCTCTTTATGTATATTTTTTGCCTTACAGTTTTCAAGTTTTTGTTCTTAAAGTCTCAAACTTGTAAATATACATAACCGAATATAAATTAGCAGCAGTATAATTTTAATGGCAAGCTAATAACTTCACGTGCGGTAAAACTCAGTTGTACAATGTTCGCAACTGCATGTTACTGCATCGCTTCAGTAATTTTGGGTACTCACTTCAATTTACTTATATTGCTAATTAAGTTAAGTGCTCTTAATTTTAGTTCCATTCTATATCGTCACAAAAATTATAATAATTAAAGTAACAGCTTGAATTTAGTAAAAGGTATATGCGCTAAGTTAAACTAAAAGTCCTTTTAACAGAGCTAACTACTCACACTAATGAAGTTTACTGGCACAATCTTCTGTAAATCTTGTACAATTAAAAATTTGGTGTTTAAATCTAATTAATTTCATATCTAGCTGCTCCCTTTAAAAACATTTAATTAAAATTTTACGACCTAAAGCGCTTAACCACGTTAACACGCTATGCTTTTAAAAAAAAGTAGATATTAATTTGACCCCTACGCGTTATAACTAACGTGATGAAAACTGATGCTGGAATGTTGTAAATATATAAATTATTACATTAAGTAGTAAAGGTTCCAATTTTAAATTTTGTCACAATAAAGTTAACGATCAGTAGAACTCGCACCTTATATTAATAGTTCTGACGCTAAGGTGGCAACAATGCCACTGGTTGGCAAAAATATCCTTGTTTCCAAGTGCAATTTTGGCAATTAGTTAAACATTGCTTAAACTGATGTGCTAATCTATTTCATAGTTGACGTATTTTGTTCACTATTGATCTTTACCCTTAAATATTAGTCCACGTGACGTTTACTAAATTTTTTATAAAACCATCTACCGCCAGATGGCAGCTTTTTTTCTTTGCTTGTTACTATTGTAGCCACTGTTCTTAGCACGGCACTGGGTTAATAAGTCAAATTTAACTTGTGCTGAATTTAAATTATTACCATTGGTAGTTTTAATATAACTCAAAATAAGTTTTTTACACGTTTATTGTGGTCTTTTTGTTTCTTAACAAGATACAAATTTGTCGAGCTATGTTAATGGAACAAGGACTCATGAACCTGTATGGACAAAAGGCCCTTGACCTCGTAATATTGAATAGTAAATTTTGGTTAGATTTTAAATTTTTTTTTTCCTGTTTAGAAAGCACCGGATCACAAAAATGTGGTAACTGATTGGAGTATGTTTTCACCTCTTATGCAAGGAACTCTATGTAAGCGGCAGTGTAGAATGGATGGGAAAGAAGGTTACAATTGTGTTGATGATGTTCATGGTATTCGTAACCAAAGTAAAAGGAGGAAGAGTCTATGAGAATTTCGGAGCATAGTTTTCTCTATTCGCCCACGACTTCATTTCGGCTTATAATATTGAAAGGCTACTGATTGCTAAATCTTTTCTTTGTCTGGTAACTTTTAGTGCGTAGGGTCACCTGCGCACGCAAATCGAGGACTTTCATAATGATTGCAGGCGCAATATGTTTGGGCCTATTTGTAGCTGCTCATTCGAATCGTCTTCGATTGCTTCGTATAAAAACAGCGAACACTAAATCGGCGCAGAGAACTCTTCCCAATCGACTACCGAGGCATAGTCTAGCCTTATAAGCGCCCAGCTTCACCGCGAGCAGGTTTGGCAACCACATAAGTGAAGAATTTGGGGTCTTCATCACTGGCACCAAAAGTTGCCGCAACCTCATACTGGCACTGCAAGTAGTCTCTGCGCGCATTGCTATGAGGCGTTCGCGCTCGAATTCAAACCGTAACATCGCATACTTGGTTGCTGCGCCAAATGCACGAGAGTATGGCCCCACCGTAGTCCGGGCTATGAAATCTGCGTGGGCCGGTTAAATTTTTGTTCGTTATTCCCACTGAGTCCTGTCCTGTGTAAAAGCCGAAGTGTGCGGAAAATAGTGAGTACACATGCGAGCTTCCATAGCGTTGTACCGCTCCTCCGGTTCTTCTAAATTGTAGGGCGCATTGTTAAGCTCTACCCGATTGCAACATTAGAGCGACCGCCGTCCTTGCACAACAAGCACCACTGAACCCGACGTATACGACCGTTGTATGCCAGCACATCTATTGATGAAGTAGAGCCGCTGGGCATTTGCACTCTCCGACTCGCATGAGTCAAGAGAGTCGCATTTTTAAATTCCCCTTGTCCTCTCAAATTTAAGCATTATTATAATTGGGCGATAGTAGACTTACTTTTCTAAGGTGCAACTTATTTTAATATAGACTAGTGCAGATAAGAAATAGTCAATAAAGTTTGAAATAAGGCTAAAAGATAAAAAGAAGACTATGTTTAACTAATTAAGAGGTTAGATATAACAACTTTACACACAGAACAACTAATAGAAGAAGAACTTTTAATAAAAAAAAATTTAAGAAAAACTTAGAATTCGTCAAAACCAAAAAAGAGTTTTTATTTAGAGATAGCATAAACTACAAGAAGAGAACCGCAAAGATTTAAAAAGATGTCAAACTTCATATATATACACATATAGCTGAAATAAATAACGATTAAAGTTGAAAAGATAAAAGCAGGTAGCCAAGTTTAACAGGACACCTGAAAGTGGATGGAAAGTTTAAATATGTTAAAGCAAAAATAATATTACCATATAGAAAATATATTATAGGATGTGATGCTGAGAAGAAAAATAAGCAAAAATATTTAGAAAAAAATAAATTTATATAGAATTGAATATCACACTTTAACCGAGTATTTTTTAAAAAAAGGGTTCTTCCATGTAATGGTTCCAAAGAGGAAATGGCTAGAAAGGAAAAAAGACGAGTGAGATAAGAGAGATAGCGGAGGTTTTGCTTCAACTTGTGGTACACAACGATAAAACGAAACTACTTTAATGCGAAACAAGTTTTAAATACACGAATGTTATTTATAGTAAGGTGTGCTTGTGTACTTTTACTCGCCATTTTTCGTTGCCAGTTGGCTAAATTCCTTAAATAAAATTCAAGTTATTTCTATAAAAAATGTTATTTTGGATAAAGCTATCCTTTTGATAGTAAATGAGATTCTGGCACATATTCCAATATATATAGGGCAAGATTCCCTTCTCTTCGCTCGGGCAACTATTAAGATGTGCAGATTGTCCTAAAAGAAGTTTCTTTTTTGATTACAGTCCCAGAAGTTTTTTTTATTAATCAAATGGATTTTCTAGTACGTTTTCCCATAAGTCATTGATTTAAAGTATCCTTGTAAGTTTCAAGCTATCAAAAAAGGTTTTACTTAACAAAATTGAAGATTTTTTTTTTTTTGGTGCTTAGGACTTACGACTTGACTTTGAGGGCTGTAAAGGCATTAAAATTTTATTGGTAAAAAACTATATAAAATTATTTATTCCAAATGAAACCACTTTATAAGAAAAAAAATATGTTTATTTTAATAAATGTAGAAAGACACCTTTAAAAAAATTATAAAAGTTATAGTGTCATGGTACAGAAAAGATAATATGAGGCTATTATTCAAACCGTATATCCTATAATCTAATATTTCAAAATAAAAATGTTAAAACAGATATACTTCCAGAACTTCTTTTTAGACAAAAAGAAGATGAAGTCCTTTAAGTTTTTTTAAAATATTACTAACTAATAATTCTTTTTAATTATAATTAAAAATATAAATTATAGAGAGGATAAGGTTTATTATTGGGTCACACTCAACTATTAAATTACTATAAAAGTCAGCTGACCCATTGCTGAACTGGTAGCTTCCCTGCTTATCTGAACAGCCTTTTCGCACTTCGTTTTATTAAACGAATAAAAGTCTTCAATTTTATTGTCATATGTGCAGTTCTTCGAGGTGAAGAAGGGCTTATTTTGATAATGAATCCTTGCGCAGCAAGAAAACGCTTTTCCCAATGCTATCTCTCTAAGTAGAGAAAACAATTTATATTTAAAATTATAAATAAGAGAAGCTCTACTTACACTCTTGTGGAATTACTAAAAGTATTAGGACCTATACATTTGATTGGGTTTTCTTTTAAATATCTGTAATATGATGTAAGCAACAAAGACAAAAACTTTTATAACTTTAACAAAAAAAATAATGCACATAAATCGTTTTATAAAAGTTTTAATCAGTCCTTACATATGCTTTTATAACTTACCACAATATTAGTATAAGTAAATTTTTTATATGAAAATACTTGTTGATAATTTTTTTAATTGTAAAGAGCCTTACAGAAATCTTAAGCTTGGAAGTTTCGACTTTGATGCTGAACAAGCTTGAATTCGCGTGATGGAATTATTAGAAATATTCCTACAGGATTAGAGCAGTTAGCCAAATTTACCTTCTGCTAAACTTGCTTTCGTGAAAGATAAAAGTAACTATATAAGTTTAATTTAATATCCAAAGAAAAATACATAGTAAGTGTGGTCTTCCACTAAAAAAAACTTACAAATCCACTAAATTTTTTAGTCCGGTAAAGGCGTCTTTCGGAATAAAAGTAAGTTTGTTATTGTGTAACAACCTTAATTAAATACCGGTAAAAATATTTAATTACTACAAAGTTTGAAACTTTTAAAAGGCGAATGCAAGGAGGACTAAGAATTCAAGAATATGGTATTAAAAATGCTTACAGTGTTGTAAGGGATTGCAAATCCGAAAATGCCTTTTTTTTAATTAACGTTAAGGCGTTATTTCTTAAATTTCTATATTAAATAGTTCATAATGTATTCTTGTTAAAAGTAGGTTACTTAGCAAAACCACAAATTTATATAAGAATCTACTTTTAAGTTCAATCTTTGTAATGCTTATTAACTGTCTTTGGTAGTAAAAAAAAAAAAAACACGTAAACTATAAAAGTTTAAAATAAAAGAACATAAGCTGGTTGGTAAGTAACTTTTACGGCTGCAAATACTAGAAAATCTTGAAGAATTAAAATTTAGTGGCATTATTTCTTTCTTATTAATAAAATAATAAAATCTTATAATTTTAAATGTAAAAAATTTTCAACTTATTAGATATATTATAGTGTGCGTCAAAGCA